TGGGAACGGCCGATGTCCACCGTGATGTCTTCCTATTGATTAATCTGAAAACGCCCTCTTCTTCAATGCGCGTTCTTGGAAGCTGCCCTTTTCGCTCTGACTTCTCGCAGCTTTAGAACGGGTAATTACAATCCACTGTACTTTCCTTTGGATGTAGACATTCTTTGCGAGATAACAGCGTAGACAAGTTCGATACAGTAAAGTGGACAGTACAAAGGGCATTCATCGCAAAGGAAAATTTTACAATCAACCAAATATAAATATGAACACACTACACAGAAGCTCACCCATGCTTGTGTGTGAGAGGGGGAGGGGGTGTATGCATTACGAGGGCTTTAGATGCAGTGTCAAACCGACTTGATACTTTTTATAAAGAATTTTTCGTGTATGGTGAATATAAACAGTGTTTTTATTTGTAGATAGTTTATGTTAATAACATTAACAATTGATGGGTCGACTGGCTTTCATTAACATGAAAATTAGCAAAAACTATATTTTTAATATGTATCATTGACGTCTGGAGGAGGGGGCTGAAGCCTCATGAGCTTCCCTCCCAAAGTGTGCCAAAGCAAATACAGCATAAGTGTATTTCATCCATGTGTATACGTACACTCATTTAGGGAAATGCACGCAAGGGCAATGGTCATGAGAGGGCATATTGTTTCAAGAATTGACACTACCTGACGGTGCCCTCCAATTCGCCATGCTTTTTTCAAATGTCGCTGGGTGATCACGTATGGGGCAAGACGAGAAATCAATAAGACACTGTACACCATTGTTTTTATCATTTTTAAACATGCGGTTGTGGCATTGTTGCTTTCTCTTGCAATTTATCAAAGCTGATCCACATATCATTAATTTAATTATATCTCATCACTCATCCTTCATGAACAATTAACGTTCTTCACACAGTGGATTTTCACGTGCCCGCGAAAAGGGTGGCAAAGGCGTAAGACCTTCTCCTACGCTCAGAAATGGCACTCATCATATATTTTAAACTTCACTCAACGTCGCTCACATTCGGTATCGCAGACCACACCGCCAGCGTTTGGCTCTCCCACGCCCCGCCGCGCACACCAGCGAACCGCATGACTGCCGCTTCGTATCCGCGCATCGGCAAGGAGCCGCGCGCGCGGGAGAAACCAGCGATCGTCGTGATTTCCGAGAGATCTTTACCTTTAGAGTTCGCGAAGAGAGTTAAGGGCGGGACGAGAGGCTGTCTTTTGCATAGCGGAAGAGGTGGGAAATGGTGGAACTAAGCAGTGTGTGGGACGGGGAATGACGAAATACCCAACGAGAGAGAGAGAGAGAGAGAGAGAGAGCGAGCGAGAGAGAGAGAGAGAGAGAGTACCGGTGAGGGCAACGCAGGGAAAGGAGAGGAGGAATGAGAAAACGGCCATGGCATAGGAGAAACGGTCGCGACGAGCAAGGGCAGGTGAGGACGTAGGACGGCGTCAAATGCAACGGGAGGGAACGAGGGAGTGTCCGGGCGGACTGAGGCGTGCTTTCGGCTGGCAAGCGGCGCGGCGGCGGGGAGTCGATCAGAGGTGGTGCTTGAGCGCGGCTGTCATTTCTCCGTACATGTTCTTGAGGGTTTTTTTGTTTTTCGCGCGCACCGCGTTCGCGAGGCGAACTGGACGGAGCGGTCTCCGCCGCTGTCTTGTAACTACGCCTCGTAATCTTCGCCTCCCCGCGGGACGCCTCGGGGGACAGGCGGGCGCGCAGAGCGGCAGAAACGGATGAGAGGCTGCGCCCAACACGGTTTTAGTATTTTATTTCAAGAATTCGCCTCGGAACCGAGATAAACTGCTTTACCTTCCCCAGACTCCATTCTTTCAGACTAATACTGTTTCCTGAGTTTTTAAACATGAGATACGTTCTCCTTTTCGTTCAATTTTCAACCATAATTCAACCTATTTCAAACAATTTTCTCCGCATCTTCTGACTACCGAAGTATCTTCGGATTACTCAGAGTTTGAGTTGGTAGTCACCGGAAGAGTAAAGAATGATAGCAAACCAGTGCGATCGTTCACCAGCGCGACACCAGCACACCAGTGCGAGGCAAGGAAACGTGCAGCCGGTAGAATTCTTCTCCGCATCGCTATGCTATTACGCTGATTTTTCGAGAATAGTTCTACATTGAGAGTTGCTACGTTTCGAAATGCATAATGAGGCATTTTCCGAAGCGTTGAAACAGGGAAGAGGAACGGGGAAAAGTGTACATTCATTAAAGATGTGGAAAGTGTTAGAAAAAATGTGGACTTTCATTGCAATAATCGACATGATTAATGGGCTCATATATTTGCAAGATCATTTCTGTTACATCGTCCAACATATCGTTGTGAATTTCAAGTGGTTCTTGGGGCTGGTTTTGTCACACCGTGTCCATCAGAAGAACGCGCAGAATTTGAAAAAGTATCCGTCAAGGAAACTATTTACTCTGCCGTAGAGTGTGTCGTGCCGCCTGTGGGAGGCGCGCAAATTCGCTTTAGTGCTGACTGGAACACGCCAGCCTCGGAACGAGTGAAAATCGTTCCATATTCTAGTACGACCACTTAGGCTGTAAAAAGTTTATTTGCAGCACCACTGATGCGAAAATACCGACAATGACTGCCTTGTGTTTTGCCGCATAAACTGTGTTGAATATTCACGAGGGTTTATTTCAAACAAATAGCAACTAAAAACCTTTTGTGCAGTAAACCGCAAATGCGAATTGGTACTGTGAGTAATCAAATAACTGGGCTTGCTAGGACAGAAGAACTAAAATGACACGAATTGCTCCGGTAAGCACGTTTCAGCAGATACAAGTAATAAATATCTAGCATCGACAACCATTGCATACACGGCAACTTGAATTCCAGTACATCAGTATGCATGCCAAAACTACCTGACGTTCTTACGAAATCCTTTCCACAATTAATATTCTTACATTACAAAATAATGATCTCTCTTTCGTAAACATCAAGAGGTCACCGCTGAAAATAATATTTATCATCCACACTTATACTATTCAACGCCAAGATCCTGATCGTCACAATCCATTAACGATTTCCCGCAAGGCAAACAAATAAATAAATTATACAAAAATTTAAAAAATTAAGTTTCGTATCTCACTTATATTACTGATCATTGACAATAAGTAGAATACCAAGAAACCTAAAATTCCGAAGGGGCAAAAAAATCCAACTTTGTTGTCATGTGTGAGAGAAGTTAAATCCGCCAATATCGCATACTGTTTCGTGATTGAAAAAGAAAAAAGACATGGCACGTGTAATATCGAGCGGTCCTCTCAAAAAACAGGGAGGGGAGCTCTACCTCCGAAGCGTGCAGCGGAATTAATGAGAAAAAGCCTGTCAAACAAATGACGTATTAATTGGGAAGTGGGAGGAAGAGGGGAGACGGGAACCTGTCACGCAATGCTTTACGTAATCCCAGCTAATGAGTGCGCCATTAACGCACGTTCTCACAGCAAAAGCCATTCAGGCAGCCGAGACGATTACCTCGCTTAGTCAACGAAACTACAGGAGCGACCAGTTAGACAGTACGGACGACTCTCATTCTGGGTCTTCTTGGGATGTGGTTTCGCCTACCCATCTGCATCCTTGCAATTCTGTTAGGCAAGGATGGAAATAGATCGGCACGCGCTTCGTGGCCCTTTGTTTGCTCCACTGCTCCATCATCAGCCCGGATGTGATTTACGCCACGACAAAGATCTACCAGAACAGTCTGGCTTTGGAATTCTCATCCAGGGTCCGGCCGCAACCCAGCTTAAATGCCACGTGTCGGAACTCTTAATCTGGAACCTCCTGGTGAACAAGAAAACAAGTGACCTTCCTATGACGTTCCTCCTGAGCGAATACTAGTTTCAAGCGAAATTCACACAGGAGATTTTTCACGTTGAGAGTATTGAGTGGTTGTGAGGAAGAGTGAGGGGAAAATGATTATAAGCAAGTTCGTTGCAATATTGATTTAATGTTTATGCTCTAACCGTCACCATTTTACACAATTTAAAGAGTAAGTCAAAAGGAGAGAGGGGGGAAGATAGAGGAAGAAGGGAAGTCAATAGGCGCTTCTAATGGCGTCAGCTGCTTTCCACGGCACCAATCTCTCCCTGCAGAGGTGTCGCGGCTCCTCCTTGGTTCATGGCTGGCCTTTGGTCGACGGCGTGATGGCTTGCGGTGAATCTGGCACTGGGGATGTCGGCTCAGAACTGCTGGTGGCGCTTCGTGCGTCTCGTATACATACGATTCTGGTGTTTTTGGAAGTACTCGAGGTCCTGTCCAGAATTGTCGACAGGTTTTCCGAAGAGCTATTTCTTTCCCATGGCACCTGCTCGGTTGCTTGAGCTCGAGCTATGTAGTGAAAATTTATACATCTAACGATTTTTCTTTAATTTTTTTAATATGGTTCGTCACATTCCGAACAATCAATATTACCAACGCTAACGGTCCCACTGACAGTCGTCATTGTACTGGAAAACGAGTGAGGCCAGCTGACGCGGTGAACAAAAGCAGTGAAATGATGTACGATACATAAGGTTTACGAAACACTTTGGTTTTCTTTATATATCCACGTTCTTTTTGTACTGTTAGATCTTTCACTATTTTTCCAGCCCGTAACGAGTTTCTTGAAATCAATTAAGTTAACCGAAATTATTCCAGGAAGCCTTTGCTTTGAAACGGCATTTACCCATTTTTAATCCGAATCTTGATGTATTTAAACTCCGTTCTCTTTTGCGCTTTAATGAGTTCCATAATATCAAATTTCGCGCTGCGTGCAAGCATGAGGAACGTGAAAAAATTGCGTGTTGGCGCGTCTGCCTCGAAACGGGCGGAGAGGCTCGTTAAAACAGCTCGTTGTTTCTGACGAAGCCCTGTCGCGCCTAGGCTGCACGACGGCAGGGCGGGCAACGGGCGGCGGAGGTGGAGGATGGCCGGTGGGATGAGACGGGTGGGCGGCGAGCAATGCCACGCGGGCGTAACGAGGGAAGCCTGACAAAGGCGGTGAAGCTGTGCGACCGAGGCTCTCCACGTCCTGCGTATCACGAACGTCCGACACACGACTATTGCTGTGAAGGGATGCGACGGCTCCGTGGAAGATGCAGGAACGGACAATGCGAAGGAAGCCTCGAGGAGCGGAGGCCTTCCACTTCCACAACTGGACCCAAAATTTAACTCCTTAAAATAAGATTCAACACGCACAACACAAATCGCGGATTTGCTTTGAACAGTTGCAAATTCTTTGTGCAATTTTCCCCTTTTTTTCTAATCAGTCATGTTTCAGTTTTGAAATTACGCGAAAGCCGGGCACTGGTTCTGAACACAGCCGCCTTCCCCAGTTTCTATATCTCTGAGGTCATGTTGCGCCACCACGCGGCTGTGTAATCCTTATCTTCAGAACCCTCCGCACACGTTCTTCTCCATTCAGCATTCGCCACACACTCCACTCACTGCTCGTCCCTTCGAGAGCTACCAACATCGCAAAACTAGTAAGACAGACATGGTAAGCCTTTTTGGAAAGATATAGTACACTTTAAAGAGCATTAACGGAAGTGTTACAGCATGTTCATTTATTACTATAAGAAATCGTCGTATGTTTCCTCAAAAGCAAAGACAACAGCAAAAGTACATCCAGAACGTGAAAGATAACTTGGTCTTAAAAGTAGCTATTAAGCTAAAATTCACCATTCGTCACTCAATTAATAATATGTCAAGTTTTTCGAGATCCGTAATTCCTACCCCCTCTCCTTTAGCAATGTTATTGGGTTTTAAATAAAATACACGAAGAAGCGTAATTGACAACTTTCAATAAACAAAATTCGCTCGCCCTTAATAGAACCAATTTGCATCGACAAACGAGAAACAGATTTCATCTGACAGTTCTCCCGTCGCATCCAACGAAAAGATAGCTCTAGAAAATGGTTGCGTATTTATACCATCTTTCGCCAGATGACATTATGGAGACTTCCGTTCCATATGCCACTCACTAATACTGCAAAAGGACCGTATCCCAATTTCCAGCTGCATTGGAGATCGTTAGATCTGCTGTGAAAACCACTCAGCGAAACAGAATTCTTCAGACCACAGGTCAGAACAGAATTTCGAAGTTTACATAGTCCACCTTATTTTCTCGCAGACTGCCAGCAGGTCTAATAATGCCTTTTATGCTTGACGTTGAGAGTCATGTGTCGCCGTCGCCGAATCGGAGTGAAAAATGAAGGGGCAGCGCGAAACTTGCAGAGGAACTTCGCATTGACTCCCAAGACCTTTGTGTCAGTCTCAGTGATTTTGGATTCTTTCAGTTTCCCTGTAAATTACATTTTGTTCAGTGTCTGGTATTCGCTTTACAGCAATCAGTGGCGTAATTCTTATTCGTTCTCATTGCGGAGCAGAGACAACAGGTTTGTGAAGTACAAAAGTTGTTTTTATTACATTATAATATGTTTACTGATAATTAACCACTGAACAATTACACGCATCTCACTTGGCTCTTATGGGTTTTACGTTTTGTACTTCCAACTAAATTGAGATCGTCTCCGACTGCTTGCGGAGGTTTTGGTGTTAAAAGCCTTATACTACATATGCGGCGTAAGTGTTTGAGGGACGTAAATATGATAATAGTACAATTTACGAGCTGGTTAATTTCCATAATGACTAACCTTTCGGGAGCAGTCGAGACCGTTCGACGATAGTCAAAACAAAATACTATATAATTAGCATATAATATAAAATTATATCTAAAGGACACGCGTGTAAGGGAAAAAAGTACGAAAGAAATGAATCAATAATTACAATAAATCTGTTGTCTGCTCACTTGGTTCTATTCATTGGCGGTTTCTCCAACATCATTATGGTCAGAGAATATGTCCCAAATTATTAACGGTCGGTCACTCTGAATGTATTTGGTTCCAGTTCACCGAGATATCTTCGCGACTATTGCTTGCGAGAGCTGAAACAGAGCTCAGATGAACAATAATAAATAGAAATGACGAGAACACATTGAAAATACGCAGTTCTTATGCTATATTTCGGTGCAACGAGCCAATTTGAGAAATTCAGAAATGAGATGATCCGATCTAACAGGCGGTATATTAACGTTATTTGTGTTTAGACAAAATTACTATTTAATTAATATGCCTTCAGATGGAACGTGCCTACATGGAATAATACGCCTGGTTTGGCAACGTACCCAGAAAAAATGATCACTCTCCGCTACGAGTGGCAACGGCGGTAAAGCTTACTTTCAAGCGCAAAGACGTTAGGTGGACGGTTAACCTTCCCAAATTATTCCAAAATGACTCTTGGTTGTTTACTTCACTCAGACACTCCCGTTCGTCCCCAAAACCACATCGCTACCATCCGCACACACTTCGCGACAAGCATTTCGGCTGCAAGCTCATCGCGTCGCATTCAGCGCCAACTCTCCACCCCGGGGCGACGCTCCTGGGCGTTCGGTCCGCCCAATTGGAATGACCCGGGGCGCTTAATTGAGTGCGGCGGCGGCGGCGGCAGCGTTGTTGCTGCTGGGTCGGCCGCTACCCCACCCACCCGGCCAACGCCGCCGCCGCCGCAATTGAAGATCAACGCTCCCGCCGCGCCTCATTGTCGGCGGGAAGAAAAAGAAGAGCTCGGCCCCTCCGCTCGGACAGAGCCTGCGGTCGGCACGGTGCCGGGGTCCGATTTTCCTTTCAGCGGTCAGGCAGCTCAGCACTCAGCACTTGATCCGAGTCAACCACCAGGCCGCTACGTACATCGTAGAAGAATGCAGGCGACGCCAGTTGCACTCCCCTTCAATATGCCTTTTATTAGAAACATAGAACTAACTAATAAATCTGGTAAAACTGAATGAAAGAAAGACACGAGAACTTAAAGCGTAAATTGACGGAAGTCTGTAAACAAAATATTTTGCGACATCTGGTTACGAAATTTTAACACAATTTGATATCATCACGACGTGAATCACTTTGATAACACATATTTACAGTGGTTTTAATCTGTAAATATACAATTCGTTAACTAAACATGTTAACTGAACTGAATTCCATTTGTCACAAGACTATGTACATGCGAAGAGGCTTTTCCGTTTTCAGAACAGTTCACGTAGGTACCGATATTTTATTTAGTTATATATCCATCCAGACGTGCCAGCGACGGTGCATAGTTCACCTCGGAGAAGCCACGTCAGGTCACCACAGTTGCTGTACATACAGGTTACCAGTTTACTACATGTAGGGTTTGAATTGTGTGATGGGGGCTGCGAGCGAGCGAGCAAGCAAGAGGAGCCAAGCAGAGATCCGCGGTGGATTGCGTGCCTCGCGGAGCAATGCGCGCAGGCTGCGCCGGGCGCCCGGACAATGCATTCATAAACCCCGCCGACGCCACGCCTCTCCGGTATGCGGGCGGACGGAGACAACAAGGAGCGTTCAGGCCGGAGGCCGTTTGCAGGGGCGCCGCAAGGATGTCAAATGAAACCAAACACACTTTACTTAAGGTTTTTTTCCTTCGTTTTCTCTCTCTCGTTTTGTAACGAAAAATAATAACACGAAAACCATTTTGATTTAGGCATAGTTTTTTACGTGAAGGCATAATATTTTATTACAATTTATACTGTACCATTTATTTTGCAATATCGTGTACTTTCTATGTAGAATCATGTAAATTACAGCCCTGAAGCCGACCAAATAAATAGCCGAAACATTTTAACAACTCGTTATTTGTTGACCTATCCTAACAATCCACAAATTCATTATTTCAATTTCTGAATGGGAGATATTTTAGTAACGTTTAATTTGGCATTCTTGTTTTTCTTGTGACGAAACAAGTGTTTGGGCATACTTGTTGTCCTTAATAGCCACGATATCATAACGATAATTATCGTAATATACTTCATGTTGTTTTGTCTCCTCAGAGCAGTTATACTTGCTCTTTCCCATGTACTCTGATCTGAACCGCCCCACGAGTTTTTCTTCCACGTAATTTATAGATGTTCACCTTCGCATCATACATTCTGGGCAGATAGGCGAACCACACCACTGCCTCTACCATGATATCAGTTTAGCTTGTCCGCATTAATAGGGACAAGTGTTCGCAAACATTCGATGAAATGAATATGCAGGGTAATCATGATGTTCGAGGAAGAGAACTCTCCCCAAATCGGTCAACTCGGAACTATTGGACCAAAATGAACCACATAATGCACTGCATTTTTATAGTACATAATCATCTAATTTTTAAGGAAATAAAAAAAAAACTGACATGCCAGCAACCTTTCTCCAGAATTGATGTATTCCCAGAAACTACGAGTTGAATAATATTGCATTATTTACCTAGCATTTTTCATCATGGGTTATATAAAACGAGATGTTTGGAAGAGTTCGCCACATCAAAAGAAAAAAAAATAGTTGATTTTATAACCAATTGAGCAGAAACCAGGGGAGTGCAATTTTTAATTATCATTACGAACAACTTCACATACAAAAGGTAATGGCCCCTAATCATAAAATTACGTTTAAGTTCATTGCAAACGAAATATATTATTTGTTAGTCTCATATGCTCTAGAAAGCCCGACACTAAAGCCGAAGCTTTAGTGTCGGGCTTTCATGTGTCTGAGCTTGCATGATGGAGGTGGTTAAGCGGCAGTACGCTGATAGATATAACGATGAATACGAGCACGGAGGGTGTTGCAGACACAGCCGTTCTTACAAGTTCCTTTCCTCTCTTCTTTCTGAGCTTGTTCTCAGGGGAAAATATCCGCCAGCACAATCGCACAGGACTATAAATGTATCATTACGAACAACCGGTTCTTGCTCTGACGAGCGCCCTCCCGAACAAGGCAAACGAGGCGACTGGTTCATTAATCATGAGTTAGTGGGATCGATCAAGAAAATCGCTGACCGCCGAGCTGCCTCGGCTAAGGGGGCGAAGAGAGGCGGCTCAGAGAAAATGGCAGCTTGCGTGCCTTTGGGTGGGAGACACGCTTCAGCTACTACGAAGAACGGGAAAAATACTTTCAACACCGAAGTACAGACTTTGGCGACGAAATAAAAGATACAGGGGTAAAACTAAAACTTCAATCAACATCCACATAATAAAGTTTCCTTTTTCCTCAATTTCAATTTACTTATTTTAAGATATAAATCAAGGTACTCAAAACTATAGTATAAAAAACAAACAAACTATGCTCCGCATTAAATTTACATTTATATAGCTGATTTAGGGGTCGTCCATAAATTACGCAACGCAAATTTGGAGTTTTTTGCAGGTACCCCTCCTCCCTGTAACATCCTTGGAATGAAATCTTAATCATGGTACACAATTTCCTAACGCTTGCCATAACCTCCATCTATTTATAAGTACAAATTATTTATGCAATAGTAAAATTAATGTATTGATTTCATTTGTTAGATGTTAATATTTCTAATAAATAAGTTAATTTTTTTTAAGAATAAATAGAAACAAATGATCAAAGATCATCCTTCCGTGGAGGTGAATAGATATCTATCGACTGCAATCACAGGAATATCTAGTCTTCACTTCCCATCTCGCTTTTAGTTTGTTTTATGTTTTGCTTGGAATTATTCGCGCTGTAAATAATGAAGAATTAGAAAACAGCGTTACGTAACACTAAACTAACCTACCCCAACCTCTACGTAACGCAACATGATGCTGCTTTAAAGTCTCTCGCCACCCTTCAGCGTTACGTAATTTACGACCGATCCTTTATAGATACTTCATTAACCGTGATTATCCCTTCGCAATAGGAATGTTCACATTAATGCTCCACAAATACATGAGAAGAAATTCTTGAATAAATGTCCTTGGACATATTAAAATTCATAATTTTTGAAATTCGAAAAAAAATGTTACTTTGAGAGGAACACCCTTGACAATTAAAACGAGTAGTGTGAAACATGCCGTTTGTTGCTTTACCAGATAAACATTATGGATCATAAATAAAATAAAACAGAATTGTGTATAACACAATACAAGCGTGAGGAACGAACTAACGATTTACTTTTTTTCTGGAATATCACGCTTTTTTATTCACATATAGTGGTCCAACTGTAACTCCTCATCTATCTACCTACCTATTGAACTCCGGGAGATCAGCATAGAAAGTGTTAGAACAAGTAGGAGTTTACGAATTCACTTTATTTCCGCCACTTACCGGATGTAGATCTGCTTGAGGCCGACGCCGCTGTTGACGCAGTGCTTGGGGAGCTTGAACTGCTCGACGAAAGATTCCCACTCGTTGCGGCTGTTCACCTACGGACAGAGGAGGGACGGCGTCATTAGAAAAATATGGTGCACAAAAAGTGATGAGCAATTTAATTCAAATTTTCTTCTGGGTAGCAAGGACCGCATGCCATCAGCAATCAGTCAAAACCAGTCGCAACCAGTCAAATAAAAAAAATGTAAATTTGGAGTATAAGCGCGCTAACTTAATATGTGGCGGCTCAATAAAAATGAGTAACAATTCTGAGGTCGAAACCCTTTGGTAGAGTAGTATAGCCCGCGCAAGAATTCATAAAACCCATTAGAAATCTATTTTTACAACACTGTTCTTTTAATTATTTAAAACACCGCTGTACTTTCTATGTTGTAATTAGTGCTCCTTCCTGACCATTAATAAAATTCTCTTTAACCGAAGGCTCACACGCTCATCGAGTCTGCAAGGGTTTACTGGATGTACTGCACGGAAGTTCTATGCACCATCCTTTCTCTAAATGCGAACGATGAGCACCTACGCCACGCCATGTCCCCATGATGGTGGAGGAGCACCCAAGCGCGGGGGCCCTGTGGAACACCATGCAACAAACGCGAAGTTTCTTTCGACAGGGCTGTAATTTCCAGCTGTTAGATAACGACGTTACTGGTGCGCAGTAATACACTCTCTTGGTTATTGCTTGCGCCCGCGATTCGAGATCCTAGTCCCATAGTTTCGCCGAACTAGCAAACGCACTGTCAGACCGTCCGCTCATTGCACGTTTGGCGAGGCTTGGCAGCGATTGCTATTGTTATAGAAACGTGGGACAACCGAATATAAGGTACAGCACAGCTCGACATACCGACAGGTCAGTTTGGACAGTCTTTTCCTTAAACACATTTCTCTAGTTTTACCCGGGTTTCCGGTGCATTTTATAAAGTTTTCTGTGATTTATAAGATTTGTAGAGAATGTAAAGAAAATGTTAAATAAAATCAAGGCTTGGGCACCTACAACTTCTAATTTATTTACAACCTCTGATTTCGCCGTAAAAAAAAGACAATTTGCTTATCAAATAAAAGTTGTGCCAAAACAACCCTGGAAATTTGTTTTTAAGAAATACTCTCTAGTTGTATGATCGTTTAAAACAGTTTCCAAACTTCTATAAATTCCTTCACTACGCCAAGTTTCTTAGAAATTGTTCACCCTGACAGTGCATACTCGACCGCGGTGGGTAGAAGTAGTTTCGCCCTCACCGCGCACTGCGAGAAGAACGCATTTAGCGCGTACAGTGTGTGGTAACGTTATCAAGTTTTACACGCTGGGAGAGGCGCCATGTCAACGCACTTCTGCTTGCATCATGAGCGCGCCGTGCGCTGGCGTTGCAAAGGGAGGTGCTAAATCACACGGGGACGGGCAGGCGCGGATGCAGACGGCGGCAGAGGCACCATCCATCACCCGGGAGGTCGGAGAGCGCCGGACTCTGGGCCCCACAACGAAAGCCCTCTACTATATCGTTGATTCCCGGCCATCCACCCGCCCCGCGTGGAATTCAACGCCAACACAGGCGAAGGAGAAGAAAGAGAGATTGAGACAAAGAGCGTACATATACACAATATTATCACGTTCAACAAGTTTTAACTGTACTTGTGCCAATTCATATTAAACAAAATCTAACAGATGTCTGGATTTTTTTCACAGTTTCCATAATTGTTAACATCTGGTTTCCAAGAAATATTCTTTTTGTTTGGTTAACGGAAACCATTTACCGCATCTATGATCATGTAGGACCAAGGGCACAATGACTTTCCGATATTCCACAGACAAAAGAGAAATCCACAAAAGTCAACCTTTTATTTTTGTCGTTTTTTATGAAGATAGAACAGCAGGGCCTGTTGGTGTCGTTATCGCCGCACCAGACGCGCTATCTGTAGGCACATCCGGCGGCCAGCAGGCGCCCGGGCTCCTCCCAGGAAGGGATGGGCACGGGTCAACTGTGTTGTGCTATCGCCAGAGCCTGGCCAGAAGAACCCCACACCGCACAAACGGGCGACCCAGCTCCAGCGCAGGTCCCAGGAGGAGAGTACATAATGTGCCTTCTCGCTGCGTGCTACCAAAAGCGACTGGGGTTGATATAACACTCTATACAATTACTACAGTTCCAAATCATTCACTTCCAGGAATGTCAAAGACGTCCTTTATACTTGAAAGCGGTAAGCAGCACTACAAGCATCGCACTGATTGAAATAAAAATGCTATATTAAAAAATCGCATCTTATCAGCTAAGGTTCTCGCCCACAAATTTACCAAACGAACCCACCTCATACGCCGCCAGATGAAGTATTTTGGCAAAAAATGCGATGCGCAGAATGAAGGTCGGGGCGTCATGGCCAACTTGAACATGAGTAGCGAAGCGTCAAATGGATACAAAAAGTAGGTACTAGTTTAACGAATTTGTTTCCTCGTGGAGGTGAATCGATTCCTCTACATAGGGTAGCATAAGGTGTATGAGCCATTATCAAGGGTATAATCAAGCTAAAGTCCTCCGATTTCTGTTTTGCACTCTAATGTAATGCAAAACAAATATATCAATATTCTTAAAATGTTTCCCTTCCTAAATATCGTCACATCTCCTGGCGGACAAACCCAATCCAACGACTGAGGGAGAACGCAGGAAAGCCCCATGCCCTTCTATGAGTGCAAGCAAGAAGTTTGTTGCTTTCGGCGGTAGTTCTCCTTGGGAAATAATTGAACGGGAGGCGGCGAAGCGCGAAGGCAAGGGCGAAGGCAAGGGCGAAGCAGGACGGATTTGCCTGCGGGAACCGAAACTCTAGCTGTGATCAGAGAACGAGAACGGGAACGTCAACAAACTCTGTTCTCTCATACAAACGTGCATTGTGCATTTGAAGTTCTGCCAGCAAATGGTACCCAAGCATACCGGCACATCACACCAAGCCGTCGACATAAATATTCGTGCAAAATTCATTGGCCATTGACACCTGACATAAAATGTTTCCTTTCAAAACCGTACTTGAAGTAATTATTCATTTTCTTTATTAACATTTTTTTAAACTTTCAAATCTAAAAAAAGCTTGTTTAAGGAGCTTGAAACGATTTGCATTTTAAAGGATTCTGAATACACCTGGCTATTTGAACAGTGTTCTGTAATTCATGTTCAAAATTTCGGCTTCTTCCCTTTTCCCTCAAATCGTGATGTATCTCCAGTACTTTTATCTGACGGTCCACTTTCCTTCTCTCATCGCGGCCTCTTCAGGCTGACTGAGGAGACATAATCAAGTCGAGTCTGCGGCGCCCGTGGCAAAATAACATGTTTCCGTGGCATGCAAAAATACGTAATGAGTTTTTATAAATATTTCTTCTACCCGGAAAAAATATTAATAGTTAACATAATAATTAAATATAATAAAAATATAAATAAGAAATGTCACAGTAAAATTATTCACAAATTTTATCAATATATAACTACCGTAAAAAGATTGTTAACCTATAATAGTGTTAATACAACATATGAATGTTTTTCAAATTTTCACAATAGAAGTCGCGATGTATCGGTAACATTACCAATGTCTTATCTAGATCTTACATAAAAATAGCACCATATTTTGTTTTTCAACAGCAGTCCGTTCTCTTGTCTGTTCGTTAATTTTTTAACCTTTTAAATTTCTGGTATACACCGATTATTTAGAGCTCTCAACAGAGTAAGAGAAAACGGGAAAGAGGAAGTAGCAAGGCAGAGGGGAGACGAACAGAAAAAGAAAAAATGATGGAAAGCACATTGGAAGCACTGCAGGCATGAGAAGACATTACGCCAAGGGGAAAATAATAACAATCGTGAAATTATAGGCAACGAGGGGCAGAAGTCAAGACACTGGCAAACCTTTGGTGGTAGCTAACTTGGCACACGCTATTAAATTAAGTTACGTAGCATTATCGTATACACAATCCATAGACGTTGTTACCACACACTCTCTTGTTTGTTTCCATTAACGTCGCGCGAAAGAGGGGACAAAGAAGCATAAGGAGAAACTCTACATCACATTAGAAACAAAACGCGAAGCCTTTTAAAATAATATCCTTACAAAATCTTCGCATATCACTGACAAAAAAAATATCCAACAGAGCAAGAGAGTAGCCATCTTAAGGCAAGAGGGCGATATTTCCATATTAATTTATGGTTGAAAGAAGTACACGCAGGTCATCTAAAAAAAGCAACAAAAACCTGAATCAACAAATTTCTTCATGGAAAAAGTACGTCCTGTGAGGGAGCAAAAAGGCTTTGGAGGGTCATGCAGGGTAGAGACTGGCGAGATTTCGCGTGAGCGCTCGGCGTTACATCGAGCGGCAGTTTTTCACGCGTGGGCAACACGAAAGGGATGGCAAATCTACCCACACGTTACACGAACATTAACTAAACGCGAAAAAGCGCAGAAAATATATGATATGATATAAGATACTCGTGAAACAAAAACAAGTCGTAAAGCACTTCAAGGTAGAATGTTTATGATTCAAGAACAATCTTTGATGACCAACCGGGCAGCATTCACGAAGTTGTAGCTACGTTCGTTTGATGATATGAGTAAAGAGAAAATGGAAAGGCAGTTCCACACATTCGGCATTCGTCGAGAAACCAGCGACTGCTTGCCAATCTCGAGCAGCTAAATGTGCTCGGCGAATGTTCGTCGCTCGGCAAAGCAACCCATTCCCACTACTCGCGATTTTATTCATTAGTACATTCATAAGTATAACTGCTCTGCGCAGACAAGTATTCTATGGCAATATCGATAAATTTCAGTGTTTTCATTTATTCTATTCTATGTTCTATTCTAATTTCTTTTTCATTTCGGCCACGAGTCACAGCTTCCGTACCATTGCTTAGCATGCGCTAAGCAGAGAGGGCAGATCCGTCACATTGGCTTCTTATATCGAAAGCAGATAAACTGTTTTAATCGTTATTTCGGGAGGGAGGGTAGCCGTTAGGTTTGGTGTTTTCTCTCAAGGCGCCAATCTGCGCCGTGAGTCAATCGACTTTACTTTCCTTCCAAATGAAGGTGCTCTAAGAAATTTTTCGACAATAAGAACTCAAATTATTATTCGTCTTCAAAATCTAATTATTCGCTACGTAGAAGCTTCCCCTTTTCTTAAGAGAATAGAGAAAACTCTAGGAAAATGGTAATCGCAGGAGGAAATCGACTCGGTCCACAGCTCCGGTGAGCGCAAGACGTTCTGCATCTTCCTCCGCAGCCGCCGCGTCCTTTCGATTTTAACTTCACCCGTCTTCCTCGTTTATGGCCCCATCCGCGAGCGAACGAAGCGCTCGCGGGTTTTATTACGCCTTTAACCGGCACCGGCGCATCTCCGGTTAACTCCAGATAAGTGGCCAGCGGGGTGATACGCCCACCCCGTCGGCACAGACGCCCAGAACACAACGATGGTCATGGCGATGCGCACTGCATTCCCCAGGCACCATGTCCAATTTTATATGCATACCATGCCTTTCGTAAAAACATGGGTTGTTCTTCTTTTATTAGTATTATAATTATTAGCTATAGTACATGTTGGTTGGTCTACTGATGTTTCCAGGCACGTCAACTTCTACTTTCATTGGTCCCGTTAGTGTAGTAAATGCTTTTAGGCACGGAGATGGCGGTGTTTCTTCCTCGCTGGAGAGTGAGACCCGGCGCCGATCTTAACGTCGGCTTGCGAGAGAAGAACCTCTCCACTTCGCTCCTCCCAGCGAGACAACCCCCAGTAAGGAATAGTTCTAAACTCCGGACGCGTGTGGTAGTGGAGTGCACGTTTGAGTGCGTGGGCAAATAAAGTGAGAGGATAGGTTAAGGGAAGTCAACATCGCGCGCAGTCCATGACATATGTGTTAAGGTATACACTTGGCATACACCTGGTACTGATTGAAGAAAAATAACGATCACAGAAGTCTGCCACTAGAAAACTCCTCCAGATTGTAGGTGAAGTCGATCTATGCAGTATTGAAAAACCGTCACGATCGGGACTCGAACCCTAGTTCCTCCAGGTCCGAGCTGGTGCAGACACCGGCAATGTAGTTCTGAACTAAACTCTGCCGATGGGATGACGGTCATTTCCTCGCCAATGTTATGAAGGGAAACGTACGGGACGTATTCCATGGCGTTGAGTCGAGATTGTGGGATATAGATAGGAAGAGAAAATAATGGTCAGAGAAGATCGTACGCGGTGTCTTGTGTTTATAGTGAGCTGATTCAGCATTCGGCTAGAAATAACGAAGAAAGCTAGAATCCCGCGGTCTCACAAAGTCGCTGATGTTGAATATATTAGGCCAATTTCCGTCCCCCAGATGGGATCGAACCCTGACCTTCCGGTCAGCTGCTCTCTCCTCAGGCACTGCCTCAACGACTACCATGTGACGATGCCGGTGGGCATTTACCACGAATATCTCATAAAAGCATTTCTCGGACCACGCCCCTATTTGCCCGCCTTGCTGCCTTCCCCCTCCAGAACTCCAATCCTGGACCGAGCACGCAAATAGGAAGAGGAGCCCCGAAGCCAGACGGACGCCCTCGTCTCTCGAGAAAAGTGAGTGCGCTCCGGAGAAAGTGGCTCCAGCCCTGGCTGTATTCGGCAATTCAGAGCTGCAGTAAAACGCCAACAACACTTTTATGCCCCACCCCACGATTGGCACACGTCTCTCCACGAGTTGAAGAGTTGAGTTTGCGTCTCGAGAATACACCAGGAACCTCAGGAGACGAGAATAACTTTTTCTAAGCGCGTCAATAAGTATTTTTAAAATGTTCTTTACGCTTTTAAGGACAATTCAAAAGAAGACGGTGATGAAATATGTTGTGATACAGACAATACCGGTATTATCAGCGTGAGAAAATTAAATTAAACTCCGTGTAATACGTTAACGTATTCCGTTTAATTAATGTTTGAAAATTTGGGCCCCGATGAGGCAGCTTCCAAATATTTTCATCCCTGAGTTAACGACGATGGAAATAAACCATAACATTCGCAAGCCTTTGAGGTGAAGGAGGTAAACTTCATATTTAAAATTAAAATTCAATATGACGCCATTACAGAAGAACTTACTGAAATGCCGGTTCATTTAAAACATCTGTATTTCATTCTAATCATGGTGTTCATATGGCAGGCGGACCGATGTAAATGTAAGTGGTATTTTATGTTTTGTAGGAAAATACCGAGTGATACTGTTTATTCGAAATGACACAGTGACTCAATCTACGAGTGAATAATAATTGCCACGGTTGTGTCCTTGAATCCACTTCAAAAATGGAGAGCTACTTCCTCCTTCATAATCCCAATAAACTCTAACTTTGAACTAAATATACTACTATGTTACTGGTAACAGTAAATTCTAGATACCAATATTCAAAAATCCGGAATGAATCGGATTAAACATTACGAGAATCACCTTGGTTTCAATTATGCACATGCAGATGTGCGTTATTACAATCGGGTGCCTAAGCATGTCAGCCAAGTCATTTCCGCTCGCTACGCCGCGCGTAGAATATTAGTGGTTATTTTAAGCAGCAGCCTAGTTCTCTTCCTCACTCAATGGGTTCTCTTCCTCACTCGTCCCGCAATTTTCACAATGTACAAAGCACTACTAAGAAATTTACTTCACTTCGCAGTGAAGTAGGACGTTCGACAGCGTGACTGCATGATGCTTAGGATGCGGCACAGTATGGTATATTTCCAATTGTTTTACTTTCTTCCCCAGCGTCATTCAGGCTAAATCGAGCATTGACCTGACATCTATTTATTAAAAGCACTTCAGCAGATTTGAAATTGTTTAAATTGTTGGCAACTGGAACTTTTGTTCGAAGTTTTAATTCAAAAAGGCATCACAATATGAAGTTTCGAATTGTGACATTTATTCACGTAAAATGCTTACTAACTAAATTTACTCTACTCATTACTACACTTCTAACGTTCTTGTGATGGTAAATATTGGTTTCTATAACTTTTTTAATAGTAGATTTTGATAATTACTATTATTAAAGAGATATGCTGCTTTGAAATCAACCCCCCATTTTGGGTGATTTTATAAAATGTTAGTCTATATGAAATGGCGATTCGTAGTACTAAACGGAGTTAATAGACAATTGGTAGAATTAGATTGAGCAGAATGGAAACAGTGTATACGCTTATCTCCAAATATGGTAATTGCTTAAATGAAAAAACAACACCAAAAAACCGGTATGTTTTATAATAGGATATAAAAATGACCGAAAAACAATCGCTGAATTATCCAGATTATTAATATTATATTATTATTAAGAAAGTGCCAATCCTGAATATACGTTCTGGGCTGGACAAAGCGTAATAGCTGACGCATTCACCTTCCACCACAAGCGTCCGGGTTCGATCCGCAGTCAAATCTCGGGGTACACGTGGTGGACTGAAGGAGCTTTTCGCATGTTTTCTGGGGGCACTCCCGTTTAAGCTGCCATTGCATAAGCGTTCAGAAACCTTTTTAATCACTCATGGGCGTCAACGGTGAGGTCCATAACCGTCCACAAATAAACGTGTTACCAAAACTAATAGGTAAAAATGCCGCTTATAACGACCTCCAACCCTTTGCACTCGTCGGAAAAGCTTCGCCGAGTATATTGCTACTCGCGTTTCTCCCGGCTGGGCTGACGAATGGCAGTGAGGCCGCTCTCCTTGGAAGGCGAGCGAAAGCCAGCACGCGCTAATGCCCACACCCGCGCTGCGGCCCGAGTGAAATCGAGTGAAGCGAGCAGATGGTGAAACCTGACGCGACGTCTGGAAACTGCCATCACCACCAAGGGCTAGACAATACAATGAAACTCTTGGCGAATATTTCAAGATATATCCTGTAAGCAACGTGACAGATCCCACGCAAACTCTGAGTATTAGGAGACATACTCATTCTAGGTACTGCTTACGCTAGATCTTTACAGACCTGAAACCGTGCGCACGCTTTGAGTAGGTGAGCTCGTGGGGTCACTGTTCTGTTGCTACTGCTGTATTGATGCAACTGTTCCCAAAACGTACTCCAGACGGTTCATGGGGTGTGCCATACAGCCGACGTCATTCTCCAGCGCAAACAAGCAGCGCGACCGGAGGTGAGGAGGGACTCGCACATCTGTTCGCACTGCTGTTGAGCGATTGACTAATATAAACATATTTCCGAAAATTAAGATTGCGAGAGAGAAAATTAGCTTTGATTGCAAAATAAGGAATAGCAATGAAGAATACAAATTATGTTAAGGTTCAACTACTTTCCATGAAAAATATTTCTACACCGCCTGTTGAACGAGTGGCCAAGGACACGATTAGTAACACCGACTGAGCATATAATTTCCAAGAATACGTTCTTAGTAATAAAATTGCTGCGTTTCCTTGCACGTTTCCACAGTTTACCCAATCCGCAGCACGAATGAATTGCTGAATGATTAAATTAATTATATTATTATTTAATACCAACTAGAACTTCAATCTAAAAATTACCACATCTTAAAGACTATATACATCTTAAGACTCAAATTCTTCTCATCCCTCCCCCAATCGCGCAATACAACAATATTCCAACTAGGAAAAACGTATGGTTCATCAAAGAGAATAAGACCACGATTCTCTAAAGATTCCCTTCGTCCACCTTACATCATTTACCCATCTTCCCCTTCCCTAAAATGACACCCACTAACGCTCTCCCTAAAATTATCACAAATTACTCCAAAATATGCCATCTACAGTTTCTTTCACCGGCTAATTAAATATATTATCAGAACCCTGAGAAAGAAGGTAACGCATGCGGATATCCATCCCTAAAAGTTAATGTGTGAAATTGTGTATTCTGAACACCCTTAAAAGGCAGAAATGCCGAGCAGGGAGAAATAAATATAAAAAAAGAAATAATCAACATTATGAAACAAAATAATTTGCAAATCAAGGAGAACGGGTATCGCCTCGTCGCGTAACAATGGTGGGTGCGGGCTTTATCGCAGTCCGGTTAATCTCTTCCGAGCGCTGCAGAGGCTGGGTTGAGCCAACGAGAGCCCAGTGCGTTCTGCGACCAGACGGCGCCAAGCAAGCTCAGCAGACGGAACGAATACTGTAGGGGATCTTTTGACTTTGAAACATTCTTCGCCGCCCAACAAACGAAAATAAAAAAACTGAAAGAAAAAAGTGGGAAAATACATACTCGTATTCCTTGGTGGGTTTCGATGTTCCAATCAACTAACGCAAAACAACATTGTTAGGCAACACAGGATTATGTATTGCATTACCCGCCGGTGCAAGCTGACGTATGTTCTAAAGAACATTCCAACCTCTCTGGCGAAGACTTCTACTCCCTTGGACCCTCGCACAATTTATAATAACAAGTAAATCAAGTTTTAACCATGCAAACCAAATGCACATAATAAAAAATGTCTCTTTACTTGTAAATCACCCTCTGAGATTATAAAAAAATCGTTGATGTCCCACCCAATAATTCTGTATTAAACTACTAGTGAAAGTACCAGACGTGACAATGTGCGATTCTAAAATAACAAAGGCCCGCACTACAATTTGTAAATCTTTTTTTTAATCGTGATGTAGCCATTTTCAGGGCACTTTCTGGTAATTTCATCAAGTTAAAAAAGTTAGCAATAAAGTGAATGACCTTCCTGAAGAAACTTGTTAACTACTAAATGATACAATTGCGATGGAGGTTGTGACCAAACCATAAAATATTAATAAGATATTGTAACTTCCCAAGCTCTATCCTACGTCCTCCAGTATTAACTATATGTACATATTATACTTTATTTGTAAATAGTTTAAGTTTCTATGTAAGTATAATGTATGAAATAGATGCCACTAAAACCTAATATGTATCTCACGTAAAAGCAAGTTTATAAAAATATAAGTTAGGGACTATTTTACTCATGTCTGTCCTTGTAGTAACTAACCAATGCTAAGCAAGAAAATGTTCAAATAAAACCAATCCCAGATGTTTCCCGCCATAAAACTATCACATTGTTTACCTTCTTCTCTCCGCTGTAATTAGTTTGTTAAACTTTTTTAAAATGAAGATAGCAATTGTTTTAGGTCCATAATAGCTAGTGACTGTTAATGTATTAAAATGTGTCGTTTGGTAATATTTAAAAGACTGAAATAGAATCAATTATTAAAGATTCAGTGCCGAAAAGCAGCAAAAAGAAACAAAGTGTGAGAAGCAATTTCATGAATTTTGTAAAGAAAGAAAACACAAATGAGCTGAACAAAGAATTACACACATTGTGGGCAATGAATATACCTAGATTAGATAGTGAAGAGTACAAAGAATATGCCATCAAAACTGTGTGGAACAATACGTTACAACCAAACTTATTCAGAAAATACTTTAATGAGTATTCAAATGTGTTCAAT